CACCTTTTCCTCATTGGTAAACAGTTTATCCTGAGCCAATTTCTAGAGTGAAAAAATTATTTTTGTTGGCTCTTGCCACTTCCAAATAGATTGAAAAATATACTGATTATAGCTATGACTATGGTCAAAATTAAAACAAAGTTGGTACATAGATTTTAATGAAAAAAATACCATTTGGATTTAATTTCTGAAGAATTGAATCCAAGCCCTAGATTGAGGAAGAGGAATAATGTGAGAAATATGATGACAAATTTGAGAAAGGAGCACATAATTTAATTTATTCCAATCTCAACCACTTTTATTAGAGAAAAGAGCAACAAGAGAGTCAAGATCAAAATTAGAAACAAGAGGTAAAAGAAACTTTTGACAATTCAAGCACGTGAGCACACCAATAATCCTTCTAAACCCTGATGGTCATACTATCCCCAATTATCTAGCCTAATCCTAGGAGAAAATTAGGCCAAATAGAGACTATACTCTTCCACAAATGAGAACATTTTTTATTTCTCCTAATACAAGGAGATTTCTCAAAAGAAAAATTATATTTACTATTAATCACTTGAGTCTACAAATTAGTGGATGATGAAAGTATCCTCTAGCACAACTTCATGATATAAGAAATATTTAAACCATAAAGATTTTTAAAACTAAGGCTACTTTCAAGTTTAGGTTTACAAATGTCCTTCTAAGCTATAAGGTGACATTTCCTCCCTCCTAATGAACCCACAAATAAACTATGTAGAGAGCTTATCGATTTCATTACAAATAGAAATGGGAATAAGGACAGATTGCATCACATAAGAGGAGATACTCCTGAGGCAAGATTGAGGTTACTCTCTTTGCTAGAGAAAGATAATTCAGTTTTCAGAGAGACAAATTTTTCCTAATTTTATTAATAAGAAAAAGAAAATTGATGTTTACTAGGTTTGTGGTGATTGATAGGGATGCCTATATACTTGCCAAACTAGTAAGAGGCATGGATATCTAAGATATTACTAATGATTTGAGTTAACACAGAATCAATATTTTTGAAAAAGAATAGGGAAGATTTATTAACACTAACTTTTAAACTAGAGGCAGAGCAAAAGGAATCTAACACAGAATTTATAAGAGTAGCTTGCTGAATATTATAGGCTATTTTATCCTTAATTAGATGGGCTAGTCTCTTAATACATAAAACAAAGAGATATGGGGATAAATGATCCTCTTGACGGATACCCTTAGAGGAGTTGAAAGCCTGGGACAACACATTATTGATATTTAAGCACAAAGAAGGAAAGAGGAAATACAATGCTAAATCAGAACACAATATCAGAACTTATACCAGCAAGATTTAGCAAATCAATTATAAAGCTTCATCTAATTTTATCATAAGATTTCTCCTCCAAATCAAGTTTAATAATCATATATTCATTCCTACCTCTAAGAGAATGAAAAGAATGTACCAAATCTTGCAGAATTAAGGAGTTATCTATACTTTGTCGGCTAAGAATAAAACTAGTTTGATTAGAAAAAATTAAAGGAGGGAGAAAGTCTCTAAGTCTGTTAGCAATTATCTTAGTTGTAATTTTATAACTAATATTATACAAAGATATAAGTCTAAAGTTTTTAATATACTCAAGGTTTTAAGATTTCGAAATAAGGATAATACAAGTTTCATTGACCTCGGCAATTTTAGATGGATTACAGAACACATCCAAAACAAAATTATAGATAAAGAGACCTAGAATATTCCATTGAGATTTTAAAAATAGAACATATAGACCATTAAGACCAAAAGATTTAAAATTACCTATACTGAACAGAGAGGTCCTCACTTCTTCTAAGGTAACATGGGAGGATAATCTATCCTTAATTTCTTGATCAAGAGGAGGGAAGGAAATACTACTGTGGATGGCAGAATCAGCAAGAAGTAGGTCATAATATATATTCTTGAAATAACTAAGAGCAATAAGTCTAATTTTAGCAGGATCATATTTCCATTTATCTTGGTCATTTTTTAAAGCTTCAATTATGTTTTTATTTCTTCTAAAAATAGCAGCTCTATAGAAAAAGTTTGTGTTACTATCCCCTAAAGTTAATCAATTGGTTCTATAATAATGATACCAAAATGATTCTTTCTGATCTAGTATCATCTGGTAATCCTTCCAGAGGAAACTCATTAAATTGGTTAGGAAAGGGTTATTGATAGCACCTAATTTGTGATAAATTTCATTAATCCTATTAATTAACAACTTTTTCTTAGCAAAAAAATGACCAAAGGTGTCTTGATTCTAGTAAGAAAAATTAAACTTGAATCTAGATACATTATAAGATCAGGATTCTGAATCCAAGAGTTTCTAACTTGATTTGAAAAGTCCTTATATGAAAGTCAAGGAGCCAAGAATTTGAAAATTTTAGTATGATGAATATCATTGTCCTTGCTCCTAATTCGTAATCAAAGACCAGCATGGTCAGACTTAGGAATAGGTATGAGAATAACAGAACTATTGGGGAAAGAGTCTAGCCAAGGATCATTAGCAACTACTCTCTCTAGTCTTTCTTTCAAGTCACTCCTACTCTAAGTAAAAGAATTTCTCTTAAAACCTAAATCATTGACTCCACAAGTATGTAAACAATTAGCAAATTTTCTAATAAGATTAGTGTTAGCAGATCTGCCACCTACCTTTTCAGAGTCATAAAGAACTGAATTGAAATTCCCTATAACACACAAAAGAGAGTTAATAAAGGAATTAAAATTAATCAATTCATTTCAGTAAGTAGTTTTCAAACTCTCTTGAAGACTAACATGGGTAGAAAAAAGGATCTAATCATATTAACCATAAATACTAATTTTCAAATGAACAAACAAATTAAATTTTACTGAGACTGAAACTTTGCTCTTATTAGAATTTAAAAGATACCAGATTTTCCCTAATATTACCATCTAAATTGATCTTATTAATAAAAAACTTGTGACAATTTAATAAAAAAACTAAATTAAAAGCTTTGTTACTTAAAGTAATGAAGCTTAACACATAACAATCTCAAGAATTAAAATTTAATAAAAATATATATCATATCACATGTAACGTTACTTTTATTACATAATTAATCATACATATCATTTAATGTGATATCTAAGCACTGTGTTATAGTCTATTAACAGTGTTTGAATTTAGAATCTAAAATATTTAACGAAAATAGAAGTTAGATACTAATGTGATATTTGAAAATGTCAAGGACTAAATTCTTAAAAAAGTCCAATATTTATTATCTCATTAATCTAAAAAGTTTAATCTTTTTTATACCGTTAACTAATATATAATAAATATGATTTTTATATTAATTATAAAAATAATAAATTTTATTTAGATACTAATTCATAATTAAATGATAATATAAAAAATTTTATACGGTTAATATATTTAAATTCATGTCATAAAAAAATAAATCATGAATCTTGATGCAACCAATCTATGTTTTATAAATGTTTTTGAAAAAAAAAAAATTCTTCTGCACCTGCTTTTGTACTTATTTTTATATATTTTTAAAAAAACCAAAATCTTAAAAGATTTGATTCTTTGTCGGACTTGTGTAGATCCGTGGAGAACTAAAAATATCATGCGCAGAGAGATGAAGTTCTGTAGTCAATGCCACCTATGATAAGTATACAAATTCAATTTATTAGACTTTAATATTTATATTATAGTATGTTACATTATTATTCCTTTTATTTTAAAATATTATAGTTCTCTTTTTAAAAGTTTAAAATATCTTATAGTTTAATTTATTTTAAATATTTGGTTAAAGTATTATTAAAAAATTCTTTGACATATTTTTTATAAAAATAAATTTTTAATAAATATTATATTTTATTATCAAATTTTTAAGAAGCTCAACGAGTTTGAAAGAATAAATACTTTTTTTACTATTTATAAATACTTATTTTTATAAGCCTTATTTCAGCATCAAATAGAAAAAAATAGTCTTAATAAGATATAGAAATAAAAGTTAGAATTAGGTGGATAAAGATAAAATAATAAAATAAAAATAATATTATATAATTATTAAATTAAAAGTATTTTAAAAGATTTTAAAGAAAAGTTTTAATAATGTAAAGTTAAATAGAATAAAAAGTATATTTTATTATAATAAGACATGATAGTTAGAGTACTGTGAATAGAAATTGTATTTTACTCAAATATATTTATCAAGTTAAACCATATTCTTTAATACCAGTTGAAACCGAAATAAATACTAGATCAAATGAGGAAGACAGAGAAAAAAATAAAAATTAATATGAAGCAATATCAATTGTAAAAGTTAATTTTTCTATTCTTTATTATTTCTTTCTGCAAGTACTTAGCATTTTTATCTCTGTTTTTATAGAGATATAAAGAGATTAATTTATTTGAAACGAACATTTTTCATATAAAAATGAATATGCTGAAATTTTAAAAATAGTTTTGGTAGAATGATTTGGTATTGTTTCCATTTGGTACGTAAAGAAAAGATTTCTTCTCTTTTAACTTTGATTAATTATTATTCTATACAGAAAAATGATAGTACCATATTTTCTTAAATTTTTTTAAATAGTATATTTTCAGAAGGTTAAAATAATTTTTAAAAGGAAATTAATTTAAAAAATAAAATTATTTTAACTTTTAAAAATAAAAAATATTTTGCTAACATTTTTTATTTATATATTATTGTCTGACATAATTTTGCTCTTCGAACTGCTCAACCAATGTGTATCATCGCACGGTTTTAGTTGTTGACAATTGCAATACAGCCATTGGAGCCAGGAAAAAGACAAACAAATATTTCAAGTACGAGGTTAAGCAAGTGGAACCCAGCAACCCTTATCCACGTGCATTTGCCACATTCTAAGATTCATTTTCATTTCTTCGATAATGCAAATTATAACAACACCACACCTAATAAAATCTCAAGATTTCATCTCATGAACCACAACAACAAGCAACAACTATTAGCCTATCTAGCCATTCCATTCCTCCATGAGGATCATAAATCTCTCTCTTTTGGTCTTCACAGTTACAACAATGCTCCCCCTATCATTCTCCATCAATGCTTTCAAACGCTGTCCAAATTGTGGCCAAGCCCAAGTGCCATACCCATTAAGCACTGCCGCAAATTGCGGTGACCAATCCTACAAGATTCGTTGCACCGCTGGCACACTCTTCTTCGACTCCATCAACGGTTCCTCTTACGCCATCACCGCCATCAACCCCACGACGCAACGTTTCGTTCTCCACCCACCAAGTTTCTTGAACGACACTTGCGTTTCCACCGACTTCAAAAGCGAAGGGTTGTGGCTAGACACTAGCTCCCCCTTCAACATCACCTCTAGCAACACCCTGGTCTTCTTGAACTGCAATCAAGACGTCTTTACGACATTGTGGAATTGCTCGTTATCTAGCATTTGCCACAAGTACGTGCAAGACAATGACGTGGCAGCAAAAATCTGTGGGACAAGCAACCGTGTATCGCCGATATGCTGCCACGTCAAAACTGGTGGGTCAGTCACTGCTTATAGAATAAGGGTGAGGAAGGAACGGTGTGCGGCGTATGTTAGCTTTCCCAATTTGGATTATTCTTTGCCTGTGAGTATGTGGCAGCCTGGGGTGGAGATAGAGTGGGAGTTGCCGGAGGAACCGCTGTGTAAAGTGAATGAAGATTGCTTGGATTTGGCTAACTCTGGTTGTTTGCCGGATCCGGTGACCGGCGGATGGAGGAAGTGCTTGTGCAAACCTGGCTTTCACTGGGATCCTGTAAACGGCATATGTCAAAGTAAGTACAAGCATGGGAACTTCTAATAAACATTTTATACGTTTATTAAATATTTTTAATTTTATGTAATTTTTTAAATTTCTTTTAGCTAATAACATTTCAATATTGATACTGATTAAGTATCACATCCCTGTAGTAAATTAAATGCCTAAAACTGTAGTTATTGACATTATTTTTTGTTTGTTAAATATTAAGTTAGCTAATAAAATTCAAATAGATGTTAGACAAGCTTTTAACCTAATCAATACATACTATTTAAAATTATGACAAATGTTAACCAACACCTTCAACGCATTAAGGAATCAATTTTATTTTTTTTAAAACAATTTCTTAAATGCAGTTGCTTTCGTCATTTTAGATTTAGGATAATGATTAATAAGACCCTAAAAATATTTTAAAATAAAAGATTAAACAAAATTTTTAATCTTTATAGAATTTATTGTGTTTGAATTAGTTCTAAAAAATTATTATTAAAATTTAGACTATAACAAATTAAACGAATAACAAAATTATTTATGACTTTAACATTTATCTTTGAGTTATCTAAGTTAACAGAGTTTAAACTCAATAGTATCATATGTCAAGTATTCAATATATTATTACCTTAATTAACACACAATTATATATATATAATGTCTATTATATAGATCTAACAATATTTCCTTTCTACTGTTTTGTTCCTTCAGATATCAAGTGCGAAAATGGAAGAGGATGCAATCGTCGTAAGAAGAAAACTCCTCTTACCGGAGGTAACTTCATCAGATCCAGATTCCACACACTTAATTATAGAGATTAAACATCTTTTCCACGAATTATAAATTGACAATTCATATATATTTTGCCCAAGGTGTCCTCGACAGAGACATTGAAATCTATCGAATTTTGAGCATGCATGTGCAAGAAATGCATCCATCTCAATATATATATATAGTATGAACATATAACCAGTTTCAAATTTTAGGGTGTAATTAAATCATAAATCTATATTATATGAGATATAGCTTATCACGAATAATAAGTTGTGAATAAAATATACCTTGGCATCCACAAAAGTTTCTTAAAGCATTAAACTAAATAGCATACCACCTTGAAATTATATATATATATAACAAAAGATTTTTTAAGTGAGAGAAATAAATTTTAACTATACATTGATAATTAAGATTAAAATTTTTTAATTGTTATGTGATTATTTTAAAATATTGTATGACTTAATAGTTAACTTTGTGCTCTTACTGTTACATTTAAAACTTCTCTCATTTGCACCTTTTGTTACATGAGTAAGAAAAATAAACATTAGTTATTAAATGTTATTATGAATTATTAAGATTAAAATATACAAGTTATTTGACTTTTTTTTTTAAATCACGTGGCCTTTTAAATTATGTGACTTCTAAAAGCTTTTAATTTTGATAATCTATTATAATAGAAATGATTTTATTTTGTCGTAACATATTTTTGATTCAGACACAAATTTATTAAGACTTATTCTTTTTTTTTTTTGGCAATATATTAAGACTTATTCTTGGAGTACGTATTATTAGTCCTATAAATATAGCAAGTTTTGATTTTTCTTGTAATTTGTTTTTCATCTTGCTTTTTAAAATTTTACTTTTGATCTCTATCATCAATTTGCTATTAGATAGTTGTTGACTAATTTAATAAATGTCTAATTGAGCATTGCCAGTGGTATATAGTAAAACAAATTCCACACAAATAATATAAATTAAGATTTTCATTGTTGAGTGACATAAAAGATGATTTTTATGTTTCTCCTAAGTTAATTGCATGTGTGACTCTTTAATATATAAGAGAAGTTATTACATGTGTGACAAAGCTTAACTGGACATTTGTAAACAAGGTTAGCGACTATTTAATGACAAGTTACCAACATGAACCAAAAATTAAAATTAAAAAAATGAAAATAGAAAAACAAAAATTGCACAGACTAAAAACAAAACTTGTTATATTTATACATACTAAAAGTATATTTAAATTAATATGTAAATATTTCCTCATCCCATAATTAAGTATCACTTAATTTGCATAAAAATAAAAAAATATTAGTATGCTAAATTTAATAACATATTATTACTTAACTTCTTATTGTACTATTTATTCAATATATTAATTAATATTATTCTTAATTTGATTTTAGATATCGTTAATAAATTGATATATTAATTAATTTTGTACATTTTAATTATAATATTAATATTTTACTTTTATAATTTTATTAATTTTATAAAATAACAATCAAATATAATAAAATAAAATTGTTAAAGTGTAAAAATAAGAATATATATATATATATATATATATATATATATATATATATGTATCAATTTATTAAAAAGATCTAAAATCAAAACTCTTGACACAATACTAAATAGTCACAAAAACGATGGGGAAAGCTACTGTCATGTGATAATCACGAAATTTTGGCACTGCGTTTTAGTTAATTGACAATGTTCTTAGGTGTTCAATGAATTCAAATGGTATATAAAAAATTAATAACTTGAAGAAAATCTAAATATTATGAAATGTTAGGCATGGCGTTGGTTGGGGCTGCCACGCTAACAGGAGGCTTGATTTTTGCTTTGATGTTTTACCTTCGGAAGCAAAGAATCAAAAGAGAAACTCAGAAGAGCATCATAAGGAAAGCACGCAACATATTAAGTGCTGACAGCAGTGGCAAATCAGCGAAGATATTCACCATTAAAGACATCACAAAGGCAACCAACAACTTCTCCAAAGGTAACCTCCTTGGTGCTGGTGGCTTTGGTGAGGTCTTCAAAGGAACTCTTGATGATGGAACCATCACAGCTATCAAGAGAGCCAAACCTGGCAACACAAGAGGCATTGACCAAATACTCAATGAGGTTAGAATCCTTTGCCAATTAAACCATAGGAGCCTTGTGAGACTCTTGGGGTGTTGTGTTGAGCTTCCTGAACCTCTTCTTATATATGAATATGTCCCAAATGGAACCCTTTTTGAGCACCTTCATAATACCAACTCTGGCAAATGGATCCGTCTTGGATGGCATTCAAGGCTGAGAATTGCACACCAAACTGCTGAAGGGGTTGCATATCTTCACAATGCATCTATACCAAGAATCTTTCATAGAGATATCAAGTCGAGTAATATTCTTTTGAATGATAACCTTGATGCCAAAGTTTCTGATTTTGGCCTTTCAAGGTTGGCTGTGAGTGAAGCAAGTCACATCACAACGTGTGCTCAAGGAACCTTAGGGTATCTTGACCCTGAATATTATGTGAACTTTCAGCTTACAGATAAAAGTGATGTGTACAGCTTTGGGGTGGTTTTGTTGGAGTTGTTAACTTCTAAGAAGGCTATTGATTTTAACAGAGAAGAGGAGGATGTGAACTTGGTGGTTCTAATCAAAAGGGCTTTGAAGGAAGGGAGGTTGATGGATGCAGTTGATCCTATGCTGAAAAATGGAGCTAGTAGAGTGGAGTTGGAGAGTATGAAAGCATTCGGATCTCTTGCTGTTGCTTGCCTAGATGATCGGAGGCAGAATAGACCCTCAATGAAAGATGTCGCTGATGAGATTGAGTACATTATTTGTGTTGTCGCTAATGTTAAGGTTGAGGATGTTGAGGCTTAATTTTGGAAACTCATCACTCATACTTCTATGCCTTTTGAGTTCAATTGATTTCTTTTTGCCAAAAATAAATTGTGATACTGTTAGTTTGGAATTTGGATAAACTACTAAAAGAAGTTTTTATATATAAAAAATAGTATAAAGAATAATTTTTTTTATAGATTAAAAATAACTTATATTTTTTATTATTTTTTATAGTAATTATTTTATATAAGGAAAAGTCTATCCAAATTTAATTACAGTACAAGAAGGAACGAATTGTGATTAAAATTGTTCAAACTCAAATAACAAGTAAAATAAGCAAAAGCATACAAATCTTTGAAATATCTTCCAACCCTTATGTGTTGTCATAGTAAGTACTTTTTGAGTCTAGAGACGTTTGAATTGTCATTACTTTTAATTTTAATGTCTGCAAACATATATACATTCAATTTTGACGATGTGTAAATAAAGTTAATGATTTGTCATATAAGATGACTTCGCTACATGTTGTTTAAAGACCAGAAGATCAAGACATCTAACAAAACTAACCAGTTAATACCAATGGGTTGAAATTCATCGGTAATTGTAAGAGAGAACTCTATCACTTAAGTTCCTCTATTTTATGTACATACAATTACATAATCATCTTCCATTAGTTTCAGTTATTACGCTTATTTTTTCTTTATATATATTTCTCTTCTTTGTATCTTATATACAATATTCATTCACAATTCTTTCCATCTCTATCATATATCTCTCTCTCTCTTATGTTAGTACTCTGATTCCTTTATGATATCAGAAGCTCATGATCCACCCATAGCGGTCGTGACTTAACCTAGCAATATGCAATCCATGATTCCACTCTCAGTGAAACTAGATTATGATAATTTTTTAGTGTGGAAAATGCAAGCCACTGGCGCTTTGAAATCATTCAAATTACAGAAGTACGTTGATCATGACAATAATGGTGGAACACCTTCGAAATACAAGACTGATGATGACAAGACTGAAATAGTATCTTGTTCTACCTGGGAGCAACAAGATCAAATATTATCTTGTTCCTCAAGTCTTCATTCCTGCATGGTTGGTTGCAATCATGCATATGAAATCTGGAAAATGTTGCATTTTTACTTTGAAACTCAAACTCGTGCATGCATCTCTCAACTCAAGATTCAATTAAAAGGGATCAAGAAGATAGGTTCTTTGAATAATTATCTTCTTGTAATAAAGAAAATTGTAGATACTCTTGTGTCTGTGGGTTCTCCCGTTGATTCTAGTGAGCATATTCAAATCATTATTGATGGTCTTCCCAGTGAATATAACCTCTTTGGTCATGTCTATCATCTCAAGAATGGACCCTTACTCTGTTACTAAGATTGAAACGTTATTAATCACTATGGAGAATAGGCTTGAAAGACAACAACATGAGGAACAAGATACTGTCAACATACAAGCCAATTATACTCAGTTTCAACATAATTACAAAGGTAAACATCAAGGTTTCTATAGAGGTAGAGGCCAAAGTCATTTCATAGGCAAAGCCCAAGGCAACTCTCGAGGTCGTGGACATTTCAGAGGAAGTGCCCGTGGCAATGAAAGAAGCCAAAACTGACCTTAATGTCAAGTTTGTAACAAATCTTGCAATATAGCTCTTAATTGCTATCACAGATTCAATCCTCAATTTCAAGACACGTCTTCTCAATAAGCATCCAATTATAATGACTCCACTAATAAAGTTATGATGCCTGAGACATCTCTGGATGATCAATCTAGCATGTCAGTATTAATGATTGCTCTAGAAACTTTCTATGATACCTCTTGGTATACTGACACATGTGCCACCAATCATATCACTGCTGACCCCTCAAATCTAATGACTAAAACTCCTTACACAGGTAATGCTAAACTCACAGTGGCAAATGGTGAGTCATCTACCATAAAAAAATATATATGTAATTCTGTCTTTTTTCCATCTAATTCTTTGAAACCTCTCTATCTTAATAAATTATCACACGTTCCATCTATTTGCAAAATCTACTAAGCGTATCTTAGTTTGCCCGTGATAATAATGTGTTTTTTGAATTTTATCCTGACACATGTATTAAATGTCAAGACACTAAACAACCTATTTTGCGTAGATATCTACGGAATGAGTTATATGCTTTTGACAATGTTTCTATTCAACCTAAAGATATTTTAAGTAATCTGTGTAACACTATATCTTTACAAACAAATGTTGGTCCTCTTTCAGCGTATTGTTATAAATCTCAATTGTATAGAACTTGGCATGATCGTTTAGGTCATGCTAATTACAAGGTTGTTCAAGATTTTCTCAAAAATATAATATTTTTGTTTCTAAAACTTCTACATTGGTTTTAAGACATATTGTTTTAGTAAATCTCATAAACAACTCTTCTCTAGTTCTACTTTTATTTATGATACTCCTCTTCAACTTGTTTATTCTGACATTTAGGGCCCAGCACCTATACCATCTTCTACAAGAAGTGGATATTACATGGATTTATCCTATTACTAATAAATCACAGGCCTTACAATGCTTTATTCACTTTAAAAATATGATGGAGAACTAATTAGACCAAAAAATCAAATGTCTTCAAATAGATGGTGGTAGGGAATATCTTGCCTTTTCTAAACTTTTGCAAAAAAAATGGTATTATACATAGAATTAGTTGCCTTTATACTCATGAGCAGAATGGCTCAGCTGAGAGGAAACATCGACACATTATTGAGATGAGACTATCCTTACTGGCTTATGCTTCTATGCCTTTAAACTTTATGGGTGAGGTTTTTCAATCTGCTGTATTTATCATTAATAGGCTCCCTACACCTGTTTTAGACTTTAAATCTCCTTTTGAAGTTTTGTTTAACAAGCAACTTGAATACAATAATTTGGAAGTCTTTGGTTGTGCATGTTATCCTTACCTACGACCTTATAATAAACATAAACTGAGTTTTCAATATGAAGAATGTGTTTTTGTAAGATATAAGCCCTCTTACAAAGAATACATGTGTTTTTCGTCAACTAAACAACTTTTCATTTGTAGACATGTTGATTTTGATGAGACAATTTTTTCATTTGAGACAACACTAAGTTTTCCAAGGACAATCAATTATGCAACGCTGAGTATATTTCATCTTTACCACAATTTATCCCTACTGTTATTGTTCCTCCTGATACTACACACCAACAACATGCTACACTACGAACTACTACACTAGACATTATTACTAGAAAAGCGCTGACTACAGACGGATTTACAGACATATTTACAAACAGATATTATAGACAAATTTACAGACAAATTTTTATCCATCTGTAATACAGACGGATTTACAGACAGATTTGTGGTTTTTTTTTTTTAATTTTATGAAAAATCCATCTGTATTACAGACAGATAAAAATCTGTCTATAGTTTGTCCGTCATTTGGCGCGAAACAATATAGACAGAAATTACAGACAAATTTTTTAGTTTGTAATTTGAAAAAGGGAGGGAAATTTGGAGTGGGAGTTACAGATGGATTTTTCCGTTTGTAAATATTGCCCTTTTTAACTGATTTTTCATGTGGCAATTTACAGAAGGATTTTTTCGTTTGTAAATGGACTTGACGAATTTACAGACAGAAAAATTTGTCTGTAACTAGATCTTTAAAATGCATTGTTTTATTAAACCATTTACAGACGGATTTTCCCATCTGTAATGTCTAAAACTCATTAATTCGTGCCTCCCCCTTCCCCTTCCTCATTTTTCATAAATCTTTGTCTAACTCGCCTCTCTCTGTCTCTCTCAAAGAGCTTCAGTTTTTTGGCCTTTGCGAGTGATTGGAGCATCCATTTAAAAGATAATTTGCATCATTATATTCCTGGTATGATACTCTAACTTTTAATCGGTTTAATTTTTTTTTATTTTTAATGTGTTTTAGAAACTTAAAATTTCTATGATAGAGTTGTAGGATTGGAGATTGTATGACTAGGGGGAAGGGCGTAGAGGTCCTTTTCCGAACCTGATTATTGTGTTAAATTGGATTATTTGTGTTTGCAGAGTTTGTAGAATATGCATGTTGTGAAGTTATAAAGGGATGTACTCTAGAACGGTTTAGGATTGTAATGTGTATGTTTTTTATGCATTGATTAATAGATTATTACATAATATATAGATTATGTGTAAAGAAAATTTAGATTTTTGTATTAAGTACGTGTAAACAAATGTAAGGAAATATTAATATATTAGGGAAGATTCTGCCGAAATTTACATTAGAAATTTGTTGTATTAAGTGTAAACAAATATAGGAAAATATTCATATATTAGGGGAGATTCTGTCAAAATTTACATTAGAAATTTGTTTTATTAAGTGTAAAAAAATATAAGAAAATATTCATATATTAGGGGAGATTCTACCTAAATTTATATTAGAAATTTGTGTAATGTAAAATAAAAGGTTGATACAATATTGTGTATTTGGTCTCTAAACATGTATTATATTTGTTTCAGATATGGCAGGTAAAGGTAAGAAAGGTGTTACTCAGGGTCCTAATCGTGGCAACACTGCTTCACCGACCACTTCCACTTCCACTTCCACTTCCACTTCCACACCAGCTACTATGCAGACCTCGCAGGATATGGGACAAGAACAGTTTATCATGGTGTCCAACCCTGGGTACGTTGCTCCTCTCCCTTCATTGCCGACTACACATGCCACACAACCTCCTTCTACATAGGGTACAGGTGAGGGATCCACTGTTGTCCCAGCTGTAAGTGGGTAGCAATCATCATAGACCCAAGCATCATCTAGATCGCTTCCAACTTTAAGATGGGATGGGTCTACTTGGTAAGTTAAATTTAAAATATGAATAATAACTCTATTTGTTTTAAATAAGTTATAATAATTGTATTATTTTATTGTGTGTTAAGTTGGATTTCACCACAGAAGGGTCTCCACCAGGTGACAGATACCATTAAGAAGATGTTTGATACGCCTTACACAAGTTTTGCAAAGGTGCC